TGCACAGAGGCAGATTAGAGCAGTTTGCAGAACCTTGAATATTAAGTACAAATACATACAGCATAAAAAAAGCCCAAGGACTTATCTACAAATTACAGAACCTCAAGAACAAAAGTAACATTCATGTTCATGGAAATGTAAGTGCACATTATGTATTAATACGATCCTAAATCTTTTTAAAATTAATCACTAAAATATTTGTAAATCAAGCCTGCCCCAAATACACGCAAAACAGAACAATAGTAATTTCAGTTTCTATTACCTGTAGCATTAAAAGTTTCAACAATTTTGCATGCACCACAGACATAAATATTCTGCATCCATTTAAAAAACCCAACTTAGTGAATTTTAGGAAACCAGTGCACATGTAAAAAACCAAACAAGCCAGAAGCTCTCCCTCCACAATTTCTTCCAACTTTATTTACTTGCTCACTATTGATTACCCTAAACCACCTGGGACCTCAGTCCAGTTTTCAACAGCTGTTGTCTCTTCTTCTTCTTCTCAGTTTTAATTTCCATGTTACTTAGACCTTCTGTTTACAGTCCATGCAATGCAAGGTTTAACAAAGTCTTTCCCCTAAACACTTAAAAGAATATTACAATAAACAATTTTAACAAAACTCAACAAATAGCTTGACAAATGGAGTATAGGTGTTAAATGGTAACTGTGAGATGTTGCCTCCTCCTTACTCGAGATGGGAGGAATGCATAAAGTGACAATGGCAGACAACATGCCTTTAGCATCAGCTGTTCTCAATTAATTCAAACAATTAGTTTTGTTATTTTTGATAAAATAATCTGAGACAATGTTATACTTTGCATTATCATTAACTCAAAAGAACACCTGGCATACCATAGCAGCTCTTCTATCTAAACAATTTTCTTTCTCAGGTACATCAGTTTGCTTTACTATTCACCAGAGTTACATTTCATTCAAGGTTAGAAACAGAACTGTGGCTCCTCCAGTCTTCATTTGTACTCCCTGTTTGTTGGTGTTTAATAAACTCTTAACTACGCAGTTCTGCACTAAAATGTTTGCTGTGCTCATTTGTCTCTTTCTTATTTAACTATGCTATGTGGACAGTCACACAGACCAGTTCACTTTGCTTCTCTCCTGACAGCCACTGATTCAGACTGCTGAACATCAAGAACTTGCTGTCATCTCCAGATGTCGTCTTCCAAATAAAACGCAGGTCCTAAAGTTTCCAGCACGTGTGACAGTTTCTCAGCTACCCACCAGTGATCCAAATGCATGGCAAGCAAATCCTACAGCCCCACAGATTTTAGTGAGATGAATGGAAAGCCTGCATTCCTGAAAGTGCTCATATCATTATTTCTCCTTTAAAGTTCATCAGACGTTTTAGAATCAAATTGCACACTGCAATCCAGACTGCTTTTCTTTCATTTACAAAGAAGCTGCATTTGTGCACATTTAACTTGACAGCGTTCAGTGCTAGACCCTTCCAACATTCTGTTGAATTTTCTATTTAGAGCCCCACCTCCTGGCACAAAGATTTCTCGTCCTTGTATTTCAAAGGAGAAATTCAAATAGGCCTTAAAGACAAAAACTAGAAGTACTACTGAAATTAAAATTTTTCTGCCCTCTTGGATTCAGGATATTGAGAGCTGATGACACAGAGAATTGCACAGATGCTTTGCACAGATGTAGATGATTACTATAAAGAGAGCCCACCTCTGAGGATGGGAGGATAAATTTCTTATAATCTGGCAAAGACCAGATCTTCAAGTGATACAGGTTTATACAGGAGCTCTGAAGAGGTTACCTGCTGCGAATTAGAGCAAGCTATTGATTTGGAAACACATAATGCAAACATGCCCTTGTAACTTGAGTAAAATAATTGGTTTTTAAAACAAAAACATTTGCTCTGCAGTCTTGTAATCCAGATATTGCATTGCCATGCACAAAGATTAAAGAGAAATCTGATGAGACCCAAAAGATACAAAGAATGACTGACTCTAGAAAGTGATCCAAAATTCAGGTACCTGCTAAGGACTATTTCACTGCCTCACAACTACACAAAGCAAACAGAAAGCTCAAATATTGACCACGATGAAAAATGGCCATAACTCAGTAGTGAAAGCCAAGTTATAAGCCTCATCAGTCTCCCAAAATTTGGTTAAAGAGAAGAGATAAAAAGAAGTTAGAATTAACAAACTACTCAGATTTCAACTGCTTGAGGTACACCTGAGTTATACCAGCCTGGTGATAGATAGAATCTATCGCCATGCCTTTTTCTCAGTTGGAGGACTATTTTATAAATTATAAAACACAACATCAACTGCCTGTTAAATGGATGAATATAAATCAGAATTTAAAATTATTCTGGGCATCATTTTGACAGTTATGTTTCACAGCATTTTCCTGACTTGAATACCTTGAGGTCATTTATCCTTCGTAATGACAGAGAAATTATGCAGCATGTTTCCAGCTACATTAAGGTCTTGATAATAAAATATTTGTCAGAACCCTGCATACATTTACAAATTACAACAGCCAATCACCTCCTTAACACACAACCATATTTTAGCTGTACTTTATGTTCAATTCCTAGTAAGTAGGATACAGAGGATCTTATTCAGAAGATTATTTAGCTGAGAACGGCCTCTGGAAGTGGAGGAATTATCAGAAGCACTGATAGGTGACAGGGATGAGGTTATTATAAGGGAGGCTGAGGCAGCGCATTAGCACTTATGGTACCACAGATCCTGAAATTAAGCTTGGGGTGGACTCTGGAAATACCCTGCTCGAGTTCATCTCCAAGACGAGGGCCGTGTTTCTCTACCTTGAAGCACCAGCAGAACAGTCAGTCCAAGATCCACAGGTCAGAAAGGTTGCAACATCTGTCACTGGCAGCCTGGTCCTTCCAGCTAAGAGCTCTGCTGACAGCCAGAGAATCCCAGCAGTCCACCACATGGCCACAGTTCTGAGCCAAGGCCAAGGCCAAAGGGGCAATCACAGCAACAGCTCCTGGCAGCCACCTTCTCCTATGGAAACCGCAACAGAAACTTTCCAGCCTTTCCTCCCTGAGGCTCTTCCTTGGGATTTTGCTTACACTGGAAGCTAGGGTAGAGCTGGCTGCAACCCCATTAACTTGATTAGAATCACAGAACTATCTCAGGTTGGAAGGGACCCATAAGAATCATCAAGTCCAACTCCCTACTACTTGCAGGACTACCTAACAGTAAGCCGTATGACTAAGAGCATCACCCAGGTTGCTCCCGAACTCTGACAGGCTTGGTGCCATGACCACTTCCCTGGGGAGCCTCTTCCAGGAACTGTCAGCTTTCTCAGTGAAGAACCTTTTCTTAATGTCCAACCTGAACTTCCTGTGACACAGCTTCATTCCATTCCCTTGTGTCCTGTTGCTGGTCACCAGGGAAGGAGATCAGCACCTCTCCCTCTGCCTCCCCCCCTTGAGAAGGTGTAGACTGTGATGGGGTTACCCTCAGTCTTCTCTTCTCTGGGATGAAGAAACCAAGCAACCTTAGCCATCCCTCCCAAGTCTTGCCTTGAAGACCTTCCACCATCTTGGTTATCCTCCTCTGGACACACTGTGATGTGCTTCTTGTATTGAGATACCCATGGTGTCTTTTGTTTGCTATGGAACTACTTCTAGAACACTTATGCCTTATGCCCTCTTCAACAATTACCAGCTAGCCACCCTCAGACTGCACCAATATCATAACTATTCCCAGAGAACCTCTTAGAATCACTAGATATTCACCTCACTCAAGCGCCAATCTGAACCTGGTCAAGTGCCAGCAAAGCTAGCTTTTACAGCACAGTAGGCCTAGATTTGAAATTCATATGTAGAGCAGCAGGCCAGATCAATAGAAACAAAACCTGAGTCAGAGTAGAAGCAATAAGCCTAACATTATTGCCTGAAAAGGGACAAAACATTCTCCTGATAGGCCAGCCAGGCTGCTAGACCAGGCACGGTGTTCACACCAGTGCAAAATCTGACCCAGCAAATCAGAGGCACTGGGAATGGGACTCCAATGTGTCACCTTACAGTGATGCATAGGGCAGCATCAGAATGCAAATGTTTTTTAAAAAATGCATCTTATGCATTTTTTTCCTTACAAGAATCCAAATTAAGCTTTTAAAATACGTACTTCTCTATGTTTCCAGCCTACAAGGTACACTCAGCATCTTTTGCATGTTTGCATTCGCAGCAAAAACTAGACACAGATGACAAATGAGCATTCAGTGCCATACGACAGCGCAAACACAGGATCAAGATCTGCCCTGAGTGGCCATGATGAAACTGAGGATAGCAATCCAGAAATTCGAATCGCACAGCTGCCTGAGCGGCGTCTCAGCACTTAATGGCTGTGAGAAGAGGCATGTGCTGCACATACAAAGACATGCATCTTGCGGGTCTGCATTTGCAAGAGGGGATGTCTGCACACACAGCCACAGCCCCCCGGCCTGGCACGCAGCGCATTTCCACAGGTACGTGCTCGGCAAGGAGCACTGCGCGAGGCTGCGCGCATAAAGGGCCGGGCAGAGATGCACCGCGGGTAAAAATAAACCGGGGGCACGCCCCTGGAGCGGCTCTTGCCCCCCCCCCCCCCCCCGCGCCCCCGCACCGGGCCCAGCCCGACCTCCCCGGCTGCGGGCACTGCTCACGGCACGCTTGGCCCTGGAAACCCTCCCTCGTACCGGACAGCGCACCTGCCCCCCGCACGGGGAGGCAAGACAATGGCCAACCGGGCACAATGGTGCATGACCGGAGGCAGGCTGAGGCACGCAGGCTGTCTGCCACACCTCTCCATCCCCACCATCATCCCCATCACCGGCTCCAGCTTGTCTCTCCTCCCCTCCATCTTCACCTCACCTGCACCCTCCCTCTCCCCCACCGACCCCACGCCCCGCGCCACCGCCCGAGCCCCATCCCCGGTCCCCCGCAGCAGGCCGAAGTCATTGTTCCGCCGACCGCAGGGACCGAGCGACCCTCCCGGCTGCCGCCGCTCACCGTGCCGCGGCCAGAGGAGGATGCCTAGCGGCAAGGGACGAACGCAGCGCATCCATCTTCCCGCTGCCGCGACGGCTCCAGCGCCCAGCACCGGCCCCGCCGGCCTCCTGCGCGCCGACGCTGACGGCGGGCGCCCGCCCCGCCGCCGCCCCGCGGCTGAGGCCTGCGCTGCCGGGCCGGGGTCTGCGGCAGGCCCCGCCCCGCCGCCGCAGAGCCGCGCTCCCGGCCGCCATGGCAACGCCGCGGCGGATGGCGGCGGCGCTGGGAGCCGCAGGACGAGCCGGGCTCGCTGCGGCCGCAAGCGCCCGTGCGGCGGAGGGGCCGTGCGAGGGCTCCGAGCGGTGCTGAAGGGGGCCCGGCGCGGCTCCGGAGCGCTCCCTGCCTCGAGCACCTGTGCAGGCCGCGGGGAGGGTACTGCAGGCAGACACAGCGGCCCCCAGAGAACGAGCCGTCGGCAAGGCGGGGTGCGACTTGTGAGGCCGTGAGCCTCAACGCAAGGACGTCCTGGGGGACAAGCTCTAGGCCGGACCGAGTGAATCGGAGCTGTTTATACCCCTCAGGGACCTGCAAGAGCAGTCGCACTTCTGCCAGCGAGGTGTCAGGCGAGCAATGGCCACAGGGTCCTGGTCTTCACGCTCCTCGTAAGCTCCCTCATCCCCATCCTTTATCGACTGCAGCGACATCCCTGGAAGAGGGCGGTAGGCTGACAAGAATAAACACGTCAAGAATTGCAGTCATGACCCTTTTGGCCCTTCACGGAGATAAGGATTGCTGTTAGAGCTGACAAGGTGTACGATTTCAGCAAAAATAGACTCCCCTGGTTGTGGACGAACTGATAACAAATGTGGGTTTGGGTCTTAGGCTTTTTTCTAACCACAGCAACATGCAGGAAAACAAAAAGCAAAGAAAGAAAAAGAACACAAAAAACCCCAACCCAAACATTTACAGAATAAAAGATAGTTTAGTATTGGAGTTGTAGATTATCTCAATTTCATAATGTATTTCCCTCACGAGTGACAAAATCAGAACAAAACTAGCAGCAAAGGCTGAATTTTCAGTCATCCATCCTGAACACTGAATTCCATCAGAGCCTCCCCTCAGGATCTAGTGGTTGAGCGATTGAAAAAAGCTTCAATGCCCAAGTAAAACAAAGTTCTGGTTTTTAACAACTGCTGTGATCTGTATACATCTAGCCTAAATGTTTTATTTTGCATGTTTTGGTTACCGATTGCATAGCTCTGCACACGAGAAATGGAAGGTCTGAAATATACTGAAAAGGGAAAAAACAACTCTGAAGAACACCAAGACATATAATGTGGCACAAGTGCTCTGGGACTGCAGGCACAGAGTTTGCTTTCTCAAGAAAACTAGTTTAACTCTGCAGCCTGAGTGTACAGGGGAGAAACAGATTTTTCCAGCTATGTATTTCTGTTGCAGGTATCTCAGCACCACTGAAACAACATTTGGAGGGTACAGACAGGCAAATTCCAAAGTGAAGTGTTGAGCAAAAATAAATCAGAATATGGACAAATTCATGTTCATGGCACTGGAACAGGTCCACATCTACAGTCAGACAGAAGTAGCAGAAAAGGGATACTTGCTTACAACCAAGAATCCTTTCCTAACCATATGTAGGAAAAAGACTGGCTTTGGTTACTACAGGTCTCAAGCAGAAGAGAATAGAGGAGCTGTCGACCTAACATTCAGAAGTTCTGACAGCTGAAGGATCTTGCCCCACCTCCTGCCTATACCAAGCTCACTCTCTGTTCTGTTCCTTTATTGCAGGATGTCTCCTCACATGGTAATAACTGCTGGCTCAGAAACAAGAACACTTTAGCAATGGTGGACTGACAGCGAATGGTAGCAAAAAATATTAACGGATCAGTGGCTAAATACACTAATAAACATCAGAGATGGCAATTCATCTAGGCCACAACTTCAGGACAGTAAATCTGGCAAGCTCCTAAACTGCAAAGAAAGGAATGTAGAAAATCATGTAACACATCAAGATGTCAGTGAAACCCCTGGTAAATAGCCCAGGAAACAGCAAGGGTCAGTTGTAGTTATGGAAACAGAAAATCCTGCATCTTACCAGGTAGAAATACTGAAAGAAAGACTATACCAATCTTGGAATAAGCAGTTGCACTAATAGCAATTAAAGCTTTGGAAAAGTGTTCCAAAAATGTAACCATAATGGGTCTTTTTGGTTTATTTTACAGGGTGATCTCCAAAGGACGATAGCTTCAAGAGAAGTAGTTGGACCTATTAGTAGCATCGTTGATTTCAGTGATGTCCTTTCAAGCACAAATACAGAAAGACTCTAGGAGAGATTAGCAATGAACTTTGACTGAAGTAGGATAAACCCAGACAGAACCAGGACAGAAAGAAGGCTCCATAAATCAGTACTAAAGGACAAATATCTGTCTAGAAATCAATTTGTTTCCAAAATTTAATCTCATGATGCACAATTTTAACTGGTAAATGTGACTGATGTAAAAACCAGCATCTCTTTTAAAGTGTTAATAGTTCTCTGTAAGACTGATTGTTCCTAGAAAGCATAGAGTTTGAAAGTTGTTCTTCAATGCCTCAAGTATTAGAATTCTTTCATAGCACTCTAATGATTATTTATCCTACATAGAAAGCTTTTTTGTTTTAGCAGAAGAAAAAGACAAAACTAGCAGATTTATTTTGCTGCACAAGTTGTTTAATTTACATTATAAGAACTTGCTGTTTGTGTGGCATAAGGATTGATCATCAATTGTCATTACTGAGCTTTAAGGTCTCTGATATTTGTAGCAAGATGTGACATTTATATACGATAGGATACTAAAAAGCTAATAGACGGCTTGTAGTTTTAAATATACTAACAGGCAATATTAAAAAAAATGAGGTCCCATTGCATCCTCAGTTTTAGGACAGTAGGTAACCTCTACTTATGTGCAGTTTGCTCCTTGTTCTTAAAAAAAAAAAAATCAAAAAAAAAAAATCACTCCCACCTTGTGTAATGGATGTCATTACCAGCAGGCACTGCCACACTTCCAGAGCTTCCATAGCAGAGACGCCCATCAGTACATGTCCATCACACACATCTTTGAACTTGGCACCAAGTGCGTTATCTAAGCTAGAGGTAAGGGACAAAAACGGTGACCTCACAGTCTTCATAACACAACTTTGACAACCCTACTGCATCGTTTACAGGTATTTAAATTAGGTGTATCTGGAATAAGTATCCTCCACATCAGGGGAAACCAGGTTTCACTGGTTGTCCCACCTTTGAAACCCAGCAGGCAAAGTGCATTGTACCAGATCAGTGCCATTCCATGGTTCAGAGATGGTGAACACAGTTAATCCCTACTGGCAGCCTCCCACACTGACATCTGTATTTAACATAGGACCTTTACAAGCACCACGGTTTGGACAATCTTCATTACAAAACATTCAACTGAGACATGGACTATTTCCCCCTACGGAAATCTTCAGACAATTATAAAACTCAGTGGGAGATTCCACTACTGGATAGCCCTGTGGGAACTGGAGCTTGTTTAGCACGAACACCTGCAGATTATCCATAACTGCAGATTATTAATAGCATATCAATATATTCATAGGTGGCTATTCATAACCCAAAATGTATACAAGCCTCAGGTACTTTTTAAAAGACCTCCAGGTTGTATCAAGCTTACAAGTTGTAACTGAATAGCACCGAGATATTTGGCTGAAGTCCTCTGAAGTCACACATTAAACTGATATCCCAAACTGTTACAAAGTCCCATTCCCTTCAGGCAGATGAAGCCCAAACATAACACTGTCCTCATCTGAGGGGTACCAAGCATCAGTGAGCAAGACAATTCAAGTCAAAGGCAGCAGTGTTATTAACCTCTGGCCTTCACTGCCTCTATGAAATACAGGATCACGGTTGGTTACAAGGAAGGGTCTTACAAGCAAGAGCAAATTTACTTCATGATGTGGGAGAGGGATTGCAGGACCACCTTGCAGGACCTGCAAGATGCATCATCAGATGCCAGGAGAATAAACACAGACCCTGTGGGAGGGGTAAAGATGGGTCAGGGAGGCACAAGCATGGGAAAAGTGTGGGGAGGCAGGGAATGAGGATGTTGATGGGAAGGGGCAGACAGAGAAGCTGCATATTCACAGGTTGCTGCTCAGTAACCCTTGTCTGGCTGAGACCACTTGCCATGCTTTTATTGATTAAGCATTACTGCTTGTTTTCTATGTTATTGTGCTCCTAACTCTGTATACACATGCATGTTCCAATAGCAAGCACACAAGAGAAATCCCAAATCTATACATACCCTAGGTTCAGGATTGACTGCACAACACACCCAAGGTCTAGACATGGAAAGAGGTCATGGGCAGAGAATGGAGAGACTGAAGAATATGAGCATGTACTCAAGTCACTGTAAGCATGTATGTATGTTCCACTAGCAAGCGGAAACATGATCAGGCCAGTTCTGCAGTTTCTGTTTTAAGCAAAGACATCTAAGAGCACTGTACTCTTGTTTATGGTAGTCGTTAATTTGTGGTCATGGCTGTAGTGCACAATTTAAACTGCGTGACCAGGGACAAACAGCAGCACTGGAGGGGAGGAATCCCCTATTACATCCTGTTCACAAGATGCGGCAATCCAGAACAAAGTGGTCCCTTACAGCTCATTCAGTTTCATTTGCAACAGTACACATGAAAGCCCAAGGACAGTAATTTAACCATCAGTTTTTAATGGTGTTATCCCAGGGGCTGCTTTTATACTGAAAGCCAAAGTATGTCAGATCCACAGACAGAAAGACAAGCAGCTGTCACCTACAGCTACTTGGAATTCCTCTGACATCTGTCAGTACTGACACATAGACATGGCACTATACCTAAGTGCCCGTATCTACTGCTTCAGTGAAACATCTGTGTAGTTCAAGACAATTAAAAGTCATTAAGTAGGCAGGCAACAGTTCCCAACATAGATGGCAATGATACCACCAAAAGGTCATCCAAAGAAGTTCAGTAAAGACTAGAGGTAACACAGCAGAACCAAACTTCAAATACATTTTAACTCAAGCAGACAAGTTTTTTCTGGTCCCTCAGTTAGGAGTGGTCCTGCACATTGAAACATTCTGCCCTCTGACTGGAATGACCA